CCCCGCCGCCAGCCTTCAAATCCCCGGCACCCCCTACCCCTCCCCTTAGCCCCGGCGCTGACTGCATTTTAAAGCCTGTCCAGAGTCATTAAAGTAATTAAGTAAGCCCTTAATAGGCTGTTCCGCCCAGTTCAAGGGAGAACCCTTGGAGACGGAGTGGCCCCGTTTGTTCTCAGGCTTTTCTCACACGACTTGGTGACACGTCCATCTTTATAAGAGATGGCAGCGAGGATTTTTTTGTTTACACCGCTTTATGCGCCGAGGACACCCCGGCAGGTGTGGGACCGGGGGGCTGGCACACGATATCCCCCCCGTCACCCCCCCTTTTTTTTTTTCCGTCGGCCCGGGGAGGCTCTCGCCAGCCTTTGGCACACGACGCTCCTTTTTTGTGTGGTGTGCGCGTCTGTGCGTTGTTGTTTTACCCCCCCTGCTCTCCCCCACTCCTTTGGAGAGGCTCAATTTGTAGCCTATTATCCTATAGGAAAATGTCCCATTGAAAAGTATGAATAGTTTCATTGGGCCTAAATTTTAATAATGCGGGTCAAAGAAAAGAGGGGCAAATAAAGAGGGGATCGCAGCTGGTCCAAGAGTGCATTATTCGGTGTCACCTGCGAGCGGGATCGCCGACAGACCCCCTATTCATTTGCCTAATTTTGGTCAATTTAACAAACTTCAGGAGAAATTATTGTGGCATTGTTAAGGAGGGTAAAGCTTTCTGATCGAATTAACAGCATGTTTTGATCCGGTAAATGTCATTAAAAAGAAAGAAACAATCGCGTTTAAAGGGGGGCTCCGAGTTAAACGCGCCAAGTGGAGACGCCGGAGCGCAAAGCTCACAAAGGGAGCAAGTAACTGCCACAGGGGAACTTTTGTACGCTCACATTGCTGAGGTTTTTTACACAAAAAGGCATTATTTCATACTTGAATACGTTTAATCCAACAATTGTCTATTTTCTGCAAACATATTTTCACAGCATTGTTAGCTTTCCTCTCCGCGGCCCTCTGCCCGGGCAGCCGCGCTCCTCGCCTGGCGAGCGCACCGAGCCCCCGGCCCGCCCCGCACAGCTCCGCACAGCCCCGCACCGCCCCCGCCGGGGCCGCCCCGCCGCGCCGGGGGGGCCGCCCGCCCCCGCCGCCCGCCGCCCCCCCCGACAGTGCGGCGGCGGGCACGGGCCCCCCCGGGCCTCTCCACGACCGGCGGTGCGCCTCCGAACCCGGCACGGCCCGCGGGGCCACCCTCCCGTCCTCACCCCCCCCCGGCCCCGCCACCGCCCCCGGCCCTGGCGCTGCCGCGGGGCGCCGCCACCCCTGAGGGGGAGGGAAAGTCCGAGAGCGACCGGGCCGGCGGCGGGGCTGCCGGGCGCCTGGCTCTGCCGTCCCAGGCGACGCCACCGAGGCCCGGGCAGGGCTGCGGAAACGGCGATATCCCCGCCATGTGAGCTCGGGCAGTTGTTCTTTCGGAAATCCCACGTCCTTTCCCGTATTCCGCGTTTTTCCACCCTTTTCCCTTTGCGGTTTAAAATGAGAAAACTATCCCCACCACATGTCCCCGAGTGAGCACGGCAGGTGGCACCGCCGCTCTCGCCCGTTCGTTTCCCCAGAAGCGGCCGGAGGACAGGCGCGGTGCCGGCCCTCACCCCACCGTCCCGGGCTGGTCCCCACCTCTCCGGGCAGGCCAGGAGCACCGAACGACTCCGCGGGAGGAGGCGGCAGTGGCCCCGGGGCGCGTCTACCCCGGTCGGCGGGACGGAGTGGGGCAAAGCCGGCTGCCCGCCTGGGCACCCCTGCGTGCCGTGCCGCCGGCCGTATTATTCTTCCAGGAGCCTTGTAGGTTTCAGTATATTCATTCTCGTACAATGGGATTAAACACTAACCGTTATCATCCAAATTAACTAAATTCTGAATAGAAAATGAGGGGGCTTTTATTTTTTTCCTCCTCTTTTTGCTCCACTGGCGGAGATGGAGTTGATCCTCTTACTGTCTGTGTTAACCGCCAGCTGCAGGCACCTGCGAGGCAACTTCTTACACGAGGGAAGTTGTTTATTTGCTCGCTGCCTGTTCCCTTGTTGGTTCCCCCGCGGGCCGGGCTGCCCGGGTCAGCGGCGGGGGGCGCGGAGTGGCCGTGGCATCCCCACGTGTGCCGCTGCCTCGGAGGGCTTCAGCGGGGCTGAAGCCAGAGGGAGATCACCCGACACTGCCGCGGTCGGACTATCACCCTTGTAGGGAAGCCAGGAGAAGGTGGGTTTGGGTTTTTTTAGTTTTTAATTCCCCTCGAGCGATTGTTGGCTCTCCTTGAGGGACACGCGTGCACGGCTCTTTGGCAACCCACGGCGGACACCCGCATCCCCATGACTCTCCACCAGTTTTCGCCTCTCGCCCAGGAGCTCCATGGGCCGCAGTCCTCTCCCCAGGCAAGGGACTGGCCGGCGGCCGGGGCGCAGAGCCCTGTCCTGTACGCGCGGAGCGGGATGAGCCTCCCTCGCCCCGGCGGCTGCAGGGCGAGGGCAGGCAGCACCGCCTCGGCCGCCCCTCGCCCTCTCCCCGCGGCCGGCCCGGGGATCCCCGCCTGGCGGGGCCGCGCCCCGAGAGAGCGGCCCGGCTCGGCCCCGCGGTGCGCTGCCGGGGTGCTACAGGCGCCGCGTCGCAGTGACGTGTGGCCTCTGTCCCGTGGGCACTGGTGCTGCCGACATCTGCCAGACACGGGCTCTGGCAGAGAGGTGGAGATCCTCTGGGAGGTGTCAAGCTGCTTTGAATTCGCATCTAGGTTTGCCTTTTTGTGAATACGGATCGTCTTCCCTCTGTTTCTTCACCCCCTCTTTTCTTTTTTTGATTCCTTGATAACGTTGGGGTTGCATGCAATTACTTCACCAAGTTATTGAAACTGTGGATATTAGGCTTGAAAATAATTGTCACTGTGTGCAAGCAAGAAATCAGCTAACCAGTCTCCCATGGAAAGAGTTGTCCATGCAACTAGTGTAGCAAGTGCAAAGTCAAGTGTCCCAGTGTGGCTAAGGCTGGGGTTGGCCCTGCCAGCATGGTTCAGTCCCATCCTGGAGGTCCTGCTGTTTCATGTGGAGAGGCATTCACACTTCTGGATGATCTCATGGCTGCTGGGGAATGGGAGAACTCACTAGGTGCAAAAGATCCTACTTGTAGAAGTGATAGCTTTATTACTTGGCAGTCCTGGGTCTGTAAAGAAGCGCTGATCTCTTCACTCAAGAGAAGGCATTTCTTTTAGGAGCTTAACCCTCAGATGTACATACAGCATTTCATCATATGGTGCCAGCTTTTGCTGTGAGTTAGTTTACTCTCCCTCTCTCAGTGAGGCTAGGCTAGGTTAGCAAGTTTCCAGTCTTTTCATAGCTCCTAATGCGCTCTGCCTCTGAGTATGAGGCTGCTTGGTCCAAGTCTTGTTCCTCAGCTGTAGAGGTATTCCTTACCTCAATGCTACTGTTTATTCCAGCTATAGTCCACTTCCATGTCTTCTTCCTAGTGGAAGGACCATGCTCCTCTGTCTGCTCATCTGCCACAAATAGTGGCATCAGCGAGGGGGGAGGTGATAACATTATAGGTTTTGGTACTCCATGCCAATATGGTCCTTCGCAGAAGAAGCCATGCTTGTAACCATGAATCTCTTGTATTGTTGGGTAGATTCAGAGTGCTCTCCTCAAAATCCTAGAGTGCTTGAGGAGGTGCTGTTTGTGCTTCAGAATAAGATGTTCGTCTCCATCTGTGAGATACGGTAATGCCCATAAGCTAAACTTTGATCTTAAAAATTCTAAAACATTGATCTTTATAATCAGAAGTTGTCAAGTATCTCTGCGGTGGAAGACAGGACTTCCACGTCAGTAGTGGTCCTGAGTGCTGCTATATGCTTGTCAAATTCCATATCTGAGGAGGTACAGTTCACTGCAATCATGTTTTGTGGTGTAATTTCAATATAACATATTCTGTTCTTCATGATTAAAAGCTTTTCAGGAATGCAAACTCCGTTATGGATTACTTTTAGATTACTCTTTGTATTAACTTTTTTGAGTATGGATTGCTTGAAAGTCATTCTCATACGTTCCTGTAATTTGTAATTATCTCCTCTGTTGACTTTTTTCCCAGATATAAGATTTGAAGTTTAGGTTTAGATTTTTATGTAGTATAGCTAATGTATTCAGAATTACATAGGGTAAAATGTTTCACTGATTAAAATCAGGTGTAGCTATGTTATAGCCATTTACAGGGGCTGATTTACATTGACCGAAGACCTGGTACAGCTTTTGTCCATCAAATGCATGTATACATGGCAAAACTTAAAACTGTCCACTGTGTGTTTGTACAAGGTGAGTCCCCCAAGACAGCTGATAGATGTTTGCAGTTTTCCCAATGACAGCTATCTTCTCAGCCACATCACTATTGAGACAGAATATGTTGTTCCTTAAATGACAGCCTGTCAAAATGAGAACAGAGTGCTAAAATTTATTTCAGTGGGGTTTAGGTAATCGTGAATAAATGGGGAGGTGTACATCAGATTGCTTGTGACCGAGGTGTTCTAAATAGCTAAATAGCTAGATTAGTGACTGTCTGGCACAAATAAAGGCTGG